AGCGTGCGGTACCTAAGGCAAAATCTATATCAAGGACATACCTCTGTGCGTGTGTGCGCAGGAGTATATGTCCGCCTGGCGGTCGTCCGTCTGTCTTTGTGGGGGATGTTACGAGTGTGTGTGTGTGTGTGTTGTGTGTGTACGTTTGCGCGTGTATGTAAGTGTGTGTGTGGTGTGTGTGTGTGTGTGTTTGTGTGTGTGTGTTTGTGTGTGTTTGTGTGTGCGCGCGCGTGTGTGTGTGCTTGTGCGTGTGTGTGTGTGTGCGCGTGTGTTCCCACGGCATTCGGCCACAGTTTTGTCTCCCTCCGCCGCGCAGGCCCTGGCCACAGTTCGGCCCCGGGCGCGGCAAACGACGCGCCTAGCCGTAGCAAGGGCCGCCCGCCAGGCAGCCGCAGCGCTGACGCTGGGCCGCCTGGTGCCGTTGCCCCGCCTGCTGGGGCTGCCCCGCAGGCGGGGCGTTCCTCCTCCCTGCCCCCCCCTCCCCTCCACTGCGCCTTTTCCCCCCCCTCCCCCCGCGCGCCGCCATGGCGCCGACGCTGCAGCCGCGGCTGGCAGCAACCCCTTGGTGGTGGTGTTTTTCGGTTCTGCGCTTCGTCGCAGCCCTCGCCCTACACCCAGCGCGCACAGCATTTTGCTGGTGACAATCTGAAACCTAGATTGCTTTACCTACACGGCCCACCTGGACGGCTCCGCTGTGCATTTCCTCACATGCAGTACTTAGTCGGTCCACGCCTGGACGGCTCAGCTGTGCGTACCCTTGCTTTCCACGTACTGGGCCTCGGAAGCGCCCGTGGATACACCGACGCCGCGGCCCAGCTGCTGCCACGGTCCCCGCTGCCGATGCTGGCCGCGCCAGCGCGCTCTCTGAGTGCCCCCCTCCTCCACCCCCGATTCCGCGGCCGCTCTGTCTGTCTCAGTCTCCCGTCTTGCATACTGGGCAATTCGCTCTTCGGTCGCCCCGATTTGCTGGACCGCTATGCGCAGTTTACCTCTGCCTCGCCGCCGACGTAAAAGGTGTGTGCGTGTGCGCGTGCGCGTGTGCGTGTGTGTGTGCGTGTGTGTGTGTGTGTGCGTGTGTGCGTGTGTGCGTGTGTGCGTGTGTGCGTGTGTGCGTGTGTGCGTGTGTGCGTGTGTGCGTGCGTGTATGTGTGTGTGTGTGTGTGGGTACGCGTGCGTGTGTCTGTGTGTTTGCGTGTGCGTGCGCGTGTGCGTGTGCGTTTGTGTGTGTGTGTGTCTGTCTGTGTGTGTGTGTCTGTGTGTGCGCGTCTGTGCGTGTATTGCTGCTGCGTGAGCTGGCCTGGCCCGCGCGCGCTGCCCTCAGCCCGACTTGGGTTCCGCCGCGACGCCGCGCGCGTGGCCGCGACGCCAAAAATAGGTGAGTGTGTCTGTACGTACGTGTGTGCGTGTGTGTGTGTGTGTGTGCGTGTGCGTGTGCGTGTGCGTGTGTGCGTGTGTGTACTTACGTGTGTGCGTGTGCGTACTTACGTGAGTGTGTGTGTAGCAACTGTGGGTGTATGTGCCCGCGGGGTCTGTCTGTGTTGGACAGGCCCTCTGTGCACGGCGGCCCCGCCCCGGGCCTTCACACTGGCGGCCTGCTCCTTCTCGCGCTCCTTCGCCGCGCATGCGCAGCGCGGGTGGGGCGGCCCGGAGGCTAAAACATCAGCACGGCAGAAGCACCGGGCACCGGCAAGATTTTGTGTGGTTCCCTCTCCTTTCCTGTCCTCTCATCCGCTCTCTTTCCCACCATCCTCCTTCGTCTTCCCTCCTCTGTCGGTCCTTCGGCCTCTATCCTCCTGCTCGTCCGTCCTCCTTACAGAGTAAAAAATCGGGCAAGGAGGACGAGGAGGAGGTTGCTGAGGAGAAAGGGCCCAAGAAGGCCTGCAGAGGCGGTGCGCCCCGGTGGAGAAGTGAGAAGGGGCGGGCCTTCTCACAAGGCCGGGGGGGGTCTTCTGAGAAGCTCCCCGCCTCCTGAGAAGGCCTCCTCCTCCTCACGTTCCCCTCCTCGCTGACTGCTGGCAGCCTCAGAAGGCCTCCATCGCCAGACCCTTGGCATCCCCCGTTTACTTCTCTGCTTCGTGCGTCTCTTTTTCCCCAGGAGGAGGAGGAGGAGGAGGAGGAGGAGGAGGATGCTCCAAGATGCTCCCCGATGGTCCTTGCCGAGGAAGACAAAAGCATACGTCCGAGCGATGCCAGGCATCCGAGGGCCGGCAGAAGCGCACAGACACGGGGCACGGAAAGCACCTCGTCGGAAGCGACGATAGGGGCGAGTAGCCCAGGAGCGGGCATTGCACGTTTTCGCCCAGGAGCCTCGCCGAAGGCATGGACCATAGGCGCCCCTGGATATATGTATTCATCGTCGTCGTCGTTGTCGTCGTCGTCGTCGTCGTTGTCGTTGTCGTCGTCGTTGTCGTCGTCGTCGTCGTTGTCGTCGCCCTCCTCCTCGTCGTCGCCGTCCTCCTCATCGTCGTCGTCATCGTCGTCGTCATCGTCGTCGTCGTCGTCTTCGTCATCGTCGTCATTGTCATCGTCGTCGTCATCGTCGTCATCGTCGTCGTCGCCGTCGTCCTCGTCGTCGTCGTCGTCGCCGTCGTCGCCGTCGCCGTCGTCGTCGTCGTCGTCGTCGTCGTCGCCGTCCTCCTCGTCGTCGTCATCGTCATCGTCGTCGTCATCGTCGTCGTCATCGTCGTCGTCGTCGCCGTCGTCCTCGTCGTCGTCGTCGCCGCCACCGCCAACGGTGTCGTCGTCGTCGTCGTTGCCGCCGCCGTCGTCGTCGTCGTCGCCGCCGCCGCCGCCATCGTCGTAGTCGTCGTCGTCAAAGTCTTCGTCGAGATCGACCTCGAGGATCGCTCCTCGGCGCTCAAATCGCGAGCGCGTCCCTGCAGAATTCTGGCGCGGTGCCGCCCGCTGCCGCCGACTGGCTCTCGGCGCGCGCGCGTTGTCCACGCCCGAAGCGTCTCGGCGCGTATGGTGGAGAAGAGGGTCACTAAGGCCGCGCTAACGGCGATGTGGGTTAACGACGATGTAGGAGATCACGAGAAACCGTTTCCTACATGTCAAATATGCGAATGTACCGAACGAAAACGACACAGCGAGTTGTAGGAAAACACGTACCACGCGTTCCTACAATTGGTTTGGCCACGGACCACGCTTTCCTACAATTGGTTTTCCTACATCGCCGTTAGCTAACCCACCGTAATCGCGTCTACGGGGTCAGTCCCCATCTGAACAACGACAGGACATAGTACCAAAAACATCTACGTGTGGATCCGAAGAGGCTCACTCCTGCTTTGAGCCACGGCAGGACGTAGTACCAGTAACACGCATGTGCACGCGCACTCGGCCACAAAACGAGTACGCAAGCAAACAACGCATGTCTGCCGCGCTACGAGTCGTCCGCGGCCTTGTCCGGCAACCTGTCGTCCCCATCCGCCGTCCGGGCAATGATCGCACTCGGACTGGGGAGGGCCCAATGCCACGGACGCGCTTCCGCCCTCCTCCTCGAGAGGGTGTCGCCACCCATCAGGCCTCGAAGACGACCGTCGTGTTATAGACTCCTCGGCAGGATAGCCTCCTGCTGGAGCGGCGAAAGGGGGCCGTGGGCGGCCTCGGCTTGGCTGCTGCTGCTCCTTCTCGAAACGACTGGCCGTGCTTGCGTGGAGTTGAGGTGGAAGCACTCTATGAAGCACCTGGGCAAACCAGTCGAGCAGATTCTGCGCAAGCGGGGTATTCCAACATTCACATACTGTTACTGGAACCATCGCGCGCGCTTCGCGCGCGCTCAAGCTGTAGCTAGGCTGGATGGTCGAACTCTCATCAGGGACATCTATGTTAGGACACTTTTGTTCGGGACTTCCAAGCACCACGAACACGGCCCAAGTGGCTTCCAAGACTTCCTACACAGGCCCAAGAGCCACTTCGGGGGCCCTTCTCTTCGCCGCGGCTGGAAGTAGCCAGAGGGAGAGGGAGGAAAAGGGGAGGTGAAGGGTTGCCTGGAGGAGGAGGAGGCGGAGGCCGCAAATTAGGAGCAGCAGGAGGAGGAGGAGGATATGTGGTAGTTGTTTTGTTCGCAATCGTACCCAAGCTGCCAGGCGAACTTTAAAAAAAACGAGCTGTTGGATTTCCCAGTTGTTTTCTTCAAGTGCCCTCGGAGCCTCTTTCGGGGCCCGTTCGGGCATCCTTGGGGCTTCTTGGGGACCTCTTGAAGCCTCCTGGGGGTCTTCTGGGGCGGAGATCTCGGGTTCTCGGTTCACGTTCCCGATCCTGGGCCGTGGTTGGGGCCCTCCAGGGCCATCTTGGACGTCTCTTCGGCCGTTCTGGAGCCGCCTTGGGGCGCCTTTGAAGCCTATTGGGCCGACTTGGGGTGACCCTCGGGGCATCTTGGGGCGTCTTACAGCGTCGGGAAGCGGAACACGCGGAAACGCCAAAATTGATCATAAGCCTTCTGAATATCAATGCTTGTTGGCCTCTTCGAGCTCTCTTGGGAGACCTCTTGGAGGCCTCTTGGGTATCTTGGGGGTCTCTTGGGCCGTCTGGAGGCCATCTTGGGCGTCTTGGACCGTCAAGTGGCGTTCGGCCCATCCCGCCACCGTGCCTCGGTTGTGGGTTAGAGGCCTCTTCGAAATTCGTTTGGGCATCGTGGGAGGCCTCTCGGGGACCTCTGAGGCAATTTTGGAGGCCTCCTGGGTGCCGTTTGGGGGCCTCTCGGGGCCTCATTTTAGGCCTCTTAGGGGCCTCATGGGTCCTCTGGTTCTTGGGCTCTCTTGGGGGCCTCTTGGGGCCTCCTGGGCGCCTCTTGGGGACGAAGGCTCGAATTGTCGGTTCGTGGTTCCCCTCTTGAGCCCCTCTTGCGGCCGTCTTGGGGCCTCTTGGGCGATCTTGGGCGCCTCTTGGGCCGTTTCGAGGCCCTCTTGGACCGTCTTGGGGCCCTCTTCGGGACCTCTTGGGCCGCCTTGGGGCTCGGACCGAACACTTTCCTTGCTCGGTCGCGACATGTGTTCGGTCCAAGCACCGAGAGGAGGGCCGGTGACCGGAAGCGAGACGAGAATAGGAGGAGCCCCAGGCCGAGGGGCGGGGAGGAGCGGCTCCTTAGCGAAGGCCAGCACGCGCGCCATCATCTCTTCGGCGGCCTCCTCGGCCTCCTTCTTCCGGCGCGCCTCGTCGTCCTGCGGAGCGGTGGCGGCAACCCGACCTCCCCGCGCTGCATCCTTGGTGGGCCTTCTCTGCCCCATCGCACCAGCTGTCCATGTCGAAATCGCGTCGAAGTCGCGTCGAATTCAGGTCGGACAAATCGAATCTGTGTCGCATCCACGTTGGGTCCGTGTCTAACCGACGTGGGACCCGCGTCAGGAAACAGGAACAGCCGCACTTAGCAGGAAAGACAAAGACCCGAAAATGCAATGTAAATCTTCCCACCCCAGCTCGTTCTGGCCTTCAGGAGGAAAAAGGAGGGAGAGGGAGGGCTCCCAGGGGCGTCCCACGGGTTCGCGAGGTTCTACGCAGGAGGCGTTAGATACGATTTGAACATGTCTGGCGAGTCCTGATCTTCCTCCTCCCTTCCCTCCGTGTCCCTCCTCCAACTCCATTGCCGCTGCAAGCCGATAGGATTCCCCTAACACCTGCGACAACCATTGAAGCCTCCTCTCTCTCGCCTCCTTCTCGGACGTACTCTGCTCTCTTGCCTCCTCCTCCTTCTCCTCCTCTTCCTATTCCTCTTCCTGCGTCTCCTCCTCCTCCTAGTCTTCCTCCTCCTCCTCCTCCTCCTGTCATCATCATCAGCAGCATCAGCATCAGCATCAGCATCACCATCAACATCATCATCAGCATCAACATCATCATCATCCTCATCCGCACCATGATCATCATGATCAGCAACACCATCATCATTCGTCATCAACATCATGATCATCACAATCATCACCATCATCATCATGATCACCAACACAACCACCACCACCACCACATCGTCCTCCAGCTTCTCATCATCATCACCACCGCCATCGTCATCATGATCATCATCAGCATCATCATCATCACCGTCATCATCATCACCATCACAAACACCGTCGTCACCGACACCATCATCATGATAATCATCACCGTCAGCACCATCATAATCGACACCACCACCATCATCATCATAATCATCATCACAGCCAGCATCATCAGCACCACCACCACCATCATCATGATCATCATCATCATCAGCAGCATCATCATTATTATCAACACCACCATTACCATTATCATCAACATAAACATCAACATCATCAGCATCGTCGTCGGCGTCCTCATCATCATCGTCATCATCACCATCACCATCACCATCACCATCACCAGCTTCAGCATCAACACCACCATTATCACCATCATCACCGTCATCACCATCCTCCTTCTCCTCCTCATCATCATCGTCATCACCATCATCGCCATCGCCGTCATCATCCTCATCCTCATCCTAATCCGAATCATCATCCTCATCGTCATCAGCGTCATCATTATCATCATTATCAGCAGCATCAGGACCATCATCGACATTTCCATCGTCAGCATCATCACCATCATCATCACGACAGCCACCACCACCGCCATCCTCATCCTCATCCTTATCCTCAGCATCATCGCTATCGTCACCGACCATCAACATCACCACCATCACTATCATCATCACCAACATCATCATCATCATCATCATCATCATCATCAGCATCATCATCATCATCATCATCATCATCATCATCATAGTCATCTGCATAACCGTTATCATCATCTTCACCACTATCATCAACATTATCTTCACCATCCTCACCCAAATAATCATCACTACTACGATTACTACAGTTATGACCAGTCTACTACGGCTGTATTATACTGCTGTTATTGTTTCTAGTCGTTTTATCATCATCATCATCATCGTCGTCATCACCATTATTATCATCATCACCTCAGTCATCATTATCACCACCACAACCACCACAACCACCATCACCACCGTCATCACCACCATCACCATCATCATCATCATCATCATCAGCATCATTACTATTATTAGTAGTAGTTTGATTTTTACCATCATCATCACCACCATCATCATTATCATCATCAGCAGCAGCAGAGCAGCAGCAGAAGCAACATCATCATCACCAGCATCATTATTGTTACGTCGGGCGTGTCCCCCTACAAGGGGACCCTGGGAGAAAAATAAAGCATACTCAAAACATACCCCCAAAATGGGCAAACATATGCAAAAGAACGTCCTCTGACTATTTTCTGGCTATTTGTGAATACTCCCCCTGTAGAGGGACAGACCCGATTTACAAGTATTACGATTATCCTGATCATCCTGATCATCATGATCGTCATCATCATCATCATCAGCATCATCATCATCATCATCATCATCAGCATCATCATCGTCATCGTCATCATCATTATCATCATCATCATCATCATCATCATCATCATCATCATCATCATCATCGTTTCCTGCGGCTCCTCCTCCTCCTCCTCCTCCAACCCCATCCTCCTCCTCCTTTTCTTCCTTCTCCTCCTCATCCTCCTACTCCTCATCCTCCTCCTCCCTCCCCTCCTCCCCCATGTCCTTATGTCCCCCCCCCTCCGACGACGACGACCACGGTGGCATACAGAGGCCTCACATAAATCGCACAACGCGAGAAAGCCTTGATCATGATCCTTGATCTTCTTCGACCTCGAGGCCCTGGCGGCGACGACGACGACAACGATGACGCTGGATCACCCAAATCCTCCTGGAGCCCAATTCTGGCCAGTTGCTCGAGCTGCGTCCAGGCGCATCGATAGCGACGACATGGGCCACCGAAAACCGCAGCACGAACACGAGGTATCCTTCGCGGCCCCTCCCGCTCTCCCTGAACAGAACGCGCTCCTGCTTGGCTCTGGCCAGTGGGGCTGTTTTCGTGACCGATGGGGGGCGCACCCCCACCAGCACGTCCGCCAAGAGACGGGCTTGACACGGATTCCTCCCACTTGGGGGCTACACTCGACGCCGTCGCTCCGATCGGGTCGCAAGTGCAAAGGGGAGGATGCGACACGGGGAGGTTCGCCAATCGGCAGGGGCGACGAGAATCAGGGGCGAATAGACCATGAGGGGTGCAACGCTGGTATTCACTGGCGCCGACGGTCCACGCCTTCGGCGGCGCCCCAGCGAATTTGTGTAGTAGTGCCCGCTTGGTGATTCGCCCCTATCGTCGCCTCCGAGATCCGCTCATGCCGCTGCTTTTCCCGGCGCCTCCCAGACCCCCGAAGCGCTCTGAGAGCGTTCCAGAACGCTCTGAAACGGATTTCTGATCCGACACTCCCAGACCCACGTCGGAATTTCCTCCCAGCGTGGACTCCATGCTCCCCTAAGAAGTCAGGACCCCTTCCAGGAGACCGGCTGTTCCTCCCGAGTCGCTTCTGGATGGCCCGGAGGCCCAGCAAGGGCCCCCCGGAGGCCCAAACCATCGGGAGGGAGAAAGAGTATCGATGACACGCTGCCGTTGGTAGCACGTCAGCGTGCTACTCCCTCCTGAACAGTGAAATGCTGGTGTGTTCCCCAAGGCGGCGTGTCATTGATACCGGTCTTGTTCTTGCGGCATAAACGCTGCATAAACATGCCGCCCCGCCGCTTGGTCTCGACGCGCCCATGTGGACGACGCCGACACCACGGCAAACCCACGGCAATCCCTGCGTCCCGCGCCACAGGTATTTGGCGGCGCGCACAAGGGGGTATGGGGGAGGGGAACAGGATCCTGAGGAGGCTGCTTCTTAGGAGGCGCCGGCCTTACGTCTACAGACAAGGCCCCGCCTTCTGAGAAGCAGAGGTGCTTTTAAGAAGCCCCCCCCCCTCTCCCTACAGTCAACCCGTATCGTAAGGACGCACGACAAGGACGCAAGGGCCTTGGACGCCCATGTAGACGCAAGGATTGACCGAGGAGGCACCGATGCGAGGGCAGCCTGGGGAGGTTGCCTGTACCCCCCCCCTCTGCGCGTGGCCGAAACAACAAAAACGCCTCGCGTCGCGAGCTACTTCGCGACGCGCGCCCCCGGCAGACGGCGGCGGCGGCGGCCCCCCGCGGCCCGAGGCCGCCCAGCGGCGCGCCACAAAGAGCCCCCCGGCCGCGGTGCTTCCCACGGCGCGCCCCCGAGCAGACGGCGGCGGCGGCGGCGGCGACGACCACGACGCGCCGTCCACGACGACCACGACGACCACGACCAAGTAGATGACGACGACGACGACGACGACGACGACGACGACGACGACGACGACCACGACGACCACAGCCTCAACGACGACCGGCGCGCCGTCCTTGGCCGAGGCTTTCGCCTTCTTCGCGGCGCGCTCCTGCGCCGCCGCTGCGGGGGCCCACGCTGCTCGCCCTCGTCGGCGCCTCGAGACGTCTTTGGGCGCTCCTCGCCCGCGCCGCTTCCACGTGGGCAACCCGGGGGGCCCTCGTCGCCGTCGCGGTGCGCTCCAGACAGCCAGCGTCTTCTGGCCATCGCTCGGACGTCCATTCCCTGTGCTTGTCGACTTCGTGCGCGCATTGTTCGTAAGATGGTCCAGAATGCTCCTCGATGGTCCGCGCCGAGGAACCATGCCCACGTCCGAGCGGTGCCAAGGCGTCTTGAGAAAAAAACAGGGCAGAATGGCTTCGCCGTTCTCTGCCTCCGGGGGCCCTCGCCGGGCCCTGGGACCGCGAGCAAAAAACGCCTCGGGAGGAAAAGCCAGCCCATGGGGAATCGGTCGGGACCTCTGTGGGCCGAGGATTTCTGGGTTATCGTCGCCGCTGGCCGCCGTCGCAGCAACCGTCGTCGTCGTCGTCGTCCATTTCTGCCGGCCCCTGGGGCCTCAACGCGGCCCCCGGGGGGCGCAATTGGAGGGAACACCGGGATGGAGAGCACCCAAACATCTGGCCGCTCCAGTCTCTGTCGATGCGGGGGGCCCTGGAAGTCTGCACCGCTTCTCCAGGGCCGGCTTGTCGTCCTGAGTCGTTTTGTTGGCGGCCCCGAGGCCCCGATTTTGGTCGGAGCGTCAGACCTCCGGGACGGCTCCGCTCGGCCAGAGGATGCCGCAGAGGCGGCTGCCGCGTCGCGGCCCTGTGCGACTCGCTCTTCTTGCGGCACGGGTGCGACGGCACGACGACGAGGACGACGACAAAGAAAAAACGACGACGACGCCGTCGCCGTCGCCAACGACGACGAGGGCGGCACCGACGGCAACGGCGACGGCGACGGCGACGGCGACGGCGACGGCGGCGGCGACGGCGACGGCGGCGACGACGACGACGACGACGACGACGACGACGACGACGACGACGACGACGACGACGACGACGGCGGCGGCGGCGGCGGCGACGGCGACGGCGACGACGAAGGGGGGAAGGACAGCCAATGCCACGCTAACGGCGAGGTTGGTGAACGGCGACACTGTGGATCTGCTGCATGCGACGCCGAGCTCGCGTAAAGAATGACATGTAGGGACACGCGAAAACAGGCCTTTCCTGCAAGCGCGCTGGCCACGAACCAGCCCCCTACCCACACGACACTGAAACCCACGTCGCCGCCACCCGCATCGCTGTCAGCGTGCCTGCGGAGGCAGGCAGGGGAAGACCCGCGAGCTCAGCCCGCGCGCACCACCCAGACCCCCGACGCTGCCATGTTTGAGTATCGTTTAACCGATTCCCATCCGCAGCGGCGTGGCCTGGGCCCCACTTGTCGATTTGGATTGGGGATATGGGTCGTTCCCTTCGGGTTTCGAAGGGTGCATCCCCAACTGGGGTGGTAACTTGGTGGGGGCCTCGAAGGGGATGGGGATGGGGATGGGGATTGGTTGAACGATACCGAGCATCGCTGTCAGCGTGTCTGCGGAGGCAGGCAGGGGAAGACCCGCGAGCTCAGCCCGCGCGCACCACCACCCAGACCCCCGACGCTGCCATTTTTCGGGGGGCGCGCAAGCATGGATTAGCGATCCCTGGATTTGGCGCGCGGTCGCCAGGTGCATGGATCGAAGGAGGTGCCCTCCCCGAAATGCGGCCGGTGCCGCCTCGCTCGGCGGCGGAAATCCGTGATTTCCCCTGGAAACGGGACCCGTCGCTAATCCACGCCCCCCTGCTCCATGTTTGTGATCGCCTGAATGTTGCTGTCCGGGTTCCGTGCTTGAGGGCCCTGGCCCGAAAACGGCACCATGATCAGCGGCCAGCCCGGGGGGCAGCGAGAAGGGGCGGGCCTTCTCAGAGGGCTCGAGTCCCCCAGCCTTCCGAGAAGTGCCCCAAGCCTCCCCCGAAGCCACAGAAAGATTCCCAGAAGGCCTCCTCACAGAAAAAAAGCCCAAGGCTGTACAAGAGCACAATGCTCCCGACGAGCCGCCTCCCTCCTCCCCAATTCTCCTGGCCATCTCGGCTTCTTCCCGTACAGTCAACCCGCGCAACCAGGACGCACGATAAGGATGCAAGGGCCTTGGAAGGCCATGTCGAGACGCTTTGCGAGCGGGGCGCGGCCAGCGAAAGCGGCCAAGGATGGGCCAAAGGGGAAGGATGCGAGGGCAACCTTGGACAGTTGCTCACCCTTGCCATGCGTGTTGGCTGCAATCGTCGGCGAGCGGGGGGGCGAAGCGAAGAGGAGAAGGCCCTCTCAGGAGGCGGCGAGAAGGCCCGCCCCCTCTCACTTTCCGCCCCCTGGCTCGCCGCCGACGTGAGCCCCTCCCAGAGGCCCGACTGAATGCACAACAAAAACGCTCCATCACCTCGTTCCCAGAAACTCGATCCTCGGGTCCTCGAGCATCTTTCGGCGGCGAGCGAGGGGGGGAAGTGAAAAGGGGCGTGGGCCTTCTCAGAAGGCTCGAAGATGCCCCGGCCGTCCGAGAATTTGTCTAAGCTTTCCCCGAAGACACAGAAGAAAGCTTCCCAGGAGGAGCGAGGACTTCTGAGAAGTCCGGCCACCTTCTGAGAAGGCCTCCTCCTTCTCACCTTCCCCCCTCGCTCGCCGCCGAATCTTGGCATGGCCCCATGAGGAGCTCCACCGAGGACGATATTCACAACTGCGATACTCACAACTGCATATGGCTGGGTCCTTCGCCAGGCTAATTTTCGTTTTTTTGTTCAGTTTGCTCTACCTGTTTTCCTGTACCTCCCTGCCAAAACAAACAAAAAACAAAACGCAGCCGAAGTCCAGCAAAACAGCGTTCAGGTCCAGCCCTGAAGGTAACCACACCGCTGCTACACGCACCTCTCTGAGGGTGCGCTCTGACGAGAATTTCCAGGAGGATCCAGCCGTGGCGACGAGAGCCCTCCAGGACGAGCAACGACATCGGTACCGCTTCCTCCCCTGATCAATTAGAGGCCTCCTGGATGGGATCCGAGTAGATGGGGTCACAGGATCGCGTTGCATCGCCGATGCATCGGCGATGTGGCTCGATGTGGAGCCCGACTTTCCCCTCGCCGACGTCGCCGGTGCATCGCAAACGTGGCCGATGCATCGGCAGTGAATCGGCCGTGCATCTGCGGTGCATCGGCGACGCGGCGCGACCCTCCGATCCCATCTGCTCGGACCTCATCTTGGGGACACCAAAAGGTACCGATACCGCTACTCCCTGGACCTCTCCCAGGGTGCGTTCTGGCCAGGACTTAGGCGAATCCAGCCGAGGCGACGAGGGCCTCCCAGGATGACCCGAATGGCGAAAGCGAAGCAGGAGTAGCGGCATCGGTACCTTTTCCTCTGACATCCAGGAGGTCCAAATCAACCCCAGGCCCCCTTGGCAGCCGACTGGGCTCAGGCGCCGGACCAGGCCCAGAAGGCAGCAGCCGAGGGGGCCCCCCCGCGCGGCGGCGCTCGCTCGGGGGCATGCCTCGTTCGCAGCAGCGCCTGGAGCGCGGACCCCCCAGGCCCCTCTGGCCGCTCGTCGGCGTCGTCGTCGCTGCCCTTCGGCGGCCTCCGCGGCCCTCCGGCGGCCTTCTGCGGCCCTCGGCGGCCCTCGGAGCCTCGGAGGACTTCGGTGTCGGCCTTGGCGTGGGCGTCGTCGTCGTCGTCCTCCTCCTCCTCCTCCTCCTCCTCCTCATCATCCTCGTCCTCCTCCTCCTCCTCCTTCTCCTCCACCTCCTCCCAAGAGCCTCCACGACCACCCGTAGAACCTCCCAGAACCCCAGCACCTCATACACCCTTCCTCTCACCTTCCCCCTCTCGATCTGGACGATCCCTCCTGGGATGCGCCCCGGCTGGAACTTCGGAGCAGATCTGGCCGCGGAGGCGAGGGGGGCCAGAGAGGTCCGAAACCACTGGAAAGACCTCCATCCTCTGGTTGCTAGAATACAGAAAACGGGGAAAACAAAGGGGGTCAAGTGGCTGATGTCCCCGGTGCCACCAAAGAATAAAGGAAAGCGACTGGCGTCGGAGACGAGACTAGCTGTACGCAGATCTCGCACCCCGCCACTTTCCCACTTCTCCCGCTTCGTCCGACCCGAACGGACTGCTGTATCTCCCCACCCATCCCCAAACCCCCGAGGAGGACGCCAACCATGCACCTACAGTCGTACCGAGGCCAAAAGAACGCCTTCCAAGAACACGAGACCCTCCGCCAGCCGAAACACACCGGACATCCTATCGCACCCTCCCCTGGATGCACAAGACATCCAACAACCACGAATAACATTAGGGCACCCTCCCCGAACCGACCTCGATCTTACACCTCGGTCCGACTGTACACCTACACCGGTGCTGGCCAGGTTAGTCCTGGGCGCAGCATTGGTGCATGCGCCCACCATGCAAAGCCCAGAGGGCGCGTACGCCGATCCTGTGCCCACGATGGGCCTGGCCACGATGGGCGCAGGCGTCTGAAGCGCGTGTGCCGATCGTCGGCCTGGCGCCGCTTGGCGACACTCACGCTCTATATGCGGTTCGAGGGGGACTTCAGCAGACAGTGCGACGACCGATGTTAGCTGCAAAACCTTGCCGGCCAATGTTTTCAAGATAGTGCCCGGTCACCAATTCTCGGGGAGAAGGGCCCGAACATATGCATCTGTGAATGCCGCGTTGTGGGTCAGAGTGAGGGGGCCGAACGGTCATTCACTGTCCCTGGGTGCGTGGCTGCAGTGGAATTCCGCGGTGCGGATTCTCGTTGTTGTTGTTGTTGTTATTGTTGTTGTTTGTTGTTGTTGTTGTTGTTGTTGTTGTTGTTGTTGTTGTTGTTGGTTGTTGTTGGTGTTGTTGTTGTTGTTGTTATTGTTATTGTTATTGTTGTTGTTGTTGTTGTTGTTGTTGAACATTATTTATTCTAAAGAATAATTATTGTTGGGGCCCCTGGTGCGCGCCCCCCTCGCCGCGCCTAGGCCGCAGCCACATTTTCATCATTTTCGTGAGGAAGTGTCAGGCAAAACGTGGGTGTCCGGATCCGGTTGTTTTGTTGACGCCCGCTTTCCCTTGCAAAAAACACTATAAAATGAAATTTCTTGTTCCAACATAACCAAACTTCAAGAATCCTTTGAAACAAATGACACGAAGTGCACACTCGCGCGCGCAAGATGAAATCCTTCCAAAACCTCAGTTTTCGTAGCGATTTTAAAATAAAAACATGAAAAAACCCAATGGTTTTTCAAAAAAAATCAAAAATTCATCTTGCGCGCTCTTGCGGATTTCTGAGGAAACCCAATATTTTTTCAACATGTCTGTCAAACGGGCTCTTGCGAGCAACTTTTTCACGTGCTTCGAACTTCTGCAACAACGGTTGCGCGCATGCCAGGGCCATCATCCCTGTCAAATAATACAATATTGGACACATTCGTTTTTTCTTCGCGCGCGCACGCCGTCGTCGTCGGCCGCGGGGCCCTGAATAGTAGCCACGGTCGTCCGCATGCCACGAAGTGAAGTGTCCGAACGTCATAGGGCGGGAAGCTGGGTGTGGGTGGTGGCGAAGAGTCGTTTGGAAATTTGGTAGAGCTTGAACCGGCCCCCCCACAAAGTGGGGGTATTGCCCGCCTCCTATGAAAACCCTGGCACTGGTGAGAACGGAGTGTCCCCACGTGCTAGTAATTGTTGTTGTTGTTGTTGTTGTTGTTGTTGTTGTTGTTGTTGTTGTTGTTGTTGTTGTTGTTGTTTGTTGTCGTCGTCCCGCCCGCAACCCGCCCCGCGACCCACCCGCGACCCACCCCGCGACCCACCCCGCGACCCACCCGCGACCCACCCGCGACCCACCCGCGACCCACCCCGCGACCCACCCTGCGACCCACCCCGCGACCCACCCCGCGACCCACCCCGCGACCCACCCCGCGACCACCCCGCGACCCACCCGCGACCCACCCGCGACCCACCCGCGCGACCCACCCGCGACCCACCCCGCGACCCGCCCGCGGCCCACCCCGCGACCCACCCGCGACCCACCCGCGACCCACCCGCGACCCACCCGCGACCCACCCGCGACCTACCCCGCGACCCACCCGCGACCAAAAACCACGTTCAAGGTACAAACCACCATTTCGGCGCCTGCGGCGGGTTTTTTTTGCATTCCTTCCAGGTGGAGAGCCCGCGACCCACCCCGTGACCAACTCGCGACCAACCCGCGACCCAAACCACGTTCAGGGTACAAACCACATTTTTCGG